AAAGAGAAACAGCCTCAGACTGGAGCCTGAAAGCCTGAAAACTCCTCCTTTTTTTTCTGTTAAGCTTCTGTTAGAAAGTGGCTACACATGCACTTTTAACATGCAAAGTCAGAGTGCTTTAGCATTTAGCTTTAGCTGCACGGACCGTTGTGTTTAGCTTCTTATTCCTGATCGACAGCTAAAGAGGACTTACTGCAGATAGAAGTGTATCGGTAGAGACTCTTCACGCTGGAGGGGGGTCACTGCTCCAACACAGGGGTCATGTTGACTGAAAACAGAAAATAGGCATGTATGGATAACAACACCATGTGAAACAGGACATATGATATTCTGCAGATGTTTACAATGAAAGCTCTTAATCTGACTTATATCAAGTCATCCTCAGGTTTGCATCATCAACAGAGAAATCAACATAGACTGTTTACTATATAATGGCTTTTAAAAAGACAAACACTGGTAGTCCTTTTGCTAACAAGACTATGAAGTCATTTAATAATTTCCCTTTGGGATTACCAAAGTATTTCTGATTCTGATTCTGAAGTGGGAGACTGTATTGTTGACATTGTGACTAGACTAAATGTTCGATTAGCATATTTGTGATGATTCAACAAACAGGATTTTTTATACCAACACGTTTTACCCTAATACTGATTCACACATAATTAGCATTAGCATTAGCAATCAGACAGTGGTCTAACTGGGGGGGTGCTGAGGGGAAAAAGCTTAGGCGTGTAGAACTGGAGCAGAAGCAGAGCAGAGAGGTTGTAAAGTTAGGATTTGTCCGGTGGAAGAAGGATGTAGAGGATCTGTTAGAAAGTCTGCTGTCTCATTGTGGAGGAGTTGGTGAAAGTGGAAAGTCTGAGGAGAACAGTGAAGGTCCAGTCTGTGGATCTGGACTAGAAGAAGCTACGGCCAGCAGGGGGAGCTCTAGGGCAGAGAGACCTGAGACAGAGGAGGAGGAAGTCCACCAGAGGAAGGGTATACAGGGAGATGGAGGCAGGATCCACAAGTCTTAATTGATCAGTTCTCCACAGAAGAGAATGTCAACAAGCTGTGAAAAGTTCTGGTTCAGGGAAAAACAGTCTTCAACGAGAGGGTTCAAGGCCATGAAATATCTCTAACAAATAGCTAAATCACTCCAAAGGCAGAGGAACGTTAATGAAGGCAAAACAAGGCCAGGAAACTTATTAACAAACAAAAAAATCACTCTTCTAATGAGATAAATCGAAGTTAGGACAAACAAAAATCACTCCAGAAAACGGAGGAACCAGGAGGCCATGAAACAGAAAATCCTCCACCAGGAGGAAAACCAGAAGGCTATAAGGATGGACAGTGCTATAAAACTAAAAAAACTAAACTCTCTTGGAGATTAAATCAACACAAGACAAGGACCAAGAGAGCAGAAGTGATCTGACATCTAAAACCTTCAGGCACAAGACCAGAGGAGACTATAAGATCTCATGAGGGACAGGAGGACAATATCCGGAATTAGGGAAAACACACCGGTGGCACAAAAAGTAGAGACCAGAAATAAGAGGAGAGTCACCTCAAAATCAAAATAAAGCAGGAAACGGCCAGACCAAGACATAACAAAACCAGACCAAAAGCTCCAGAAGGGACTTTGAATCAGCCTGTGAAACCAGGTAACAGCCCCTGGTGAGCTGGCTGTTTGTTGTTGTTTTTGTTGTTATTTTTAATGACTGTAGTCAGTAAATACTACAGTCTGGGCCCTGAAACTAGCTGTGATCCAGCTGCAGAACATCCAGAACCAACTGCTCCAGTTCTGACCAGAACCAGGAAATACCACCACTCCAGTCCAGAACCCTCTGGTCCCGGTTCCCCCGGGACTCCAACCCAGAACCCTCTGGTCCTGGTTCCCCCGGGGACTCCAACCCAGAACCCTCTGGTCCTGGTTCCTCTGGGACTCCAACCCAGAACCCTCTGGTCCTGGTTCCCCCGGGGACTCCAACCCAGAACCCTCTGGTCCTGGTTCC